GGCGTGCAACGATGAAATCAGTTTTTTAACGTCATTTTGCTCCCATTGGTGATTCTGAGTCTAAATGCATAATGTTGCATCTCTGGAATGAAGAATGTCACAAATTCATTGTTGTGAAAAACCAACTTGCCAAATAATACAGGATGAAAAACGTAATTTTTCAACGGTCCTGTCTCTAATCTGTTGCCTCCTGTATACAGAACAAATCTGAACATCTTAGTATTTTATAGCTTCGGGCTGCATCAAAATGTCACCTAGCTCAATACAATCACATTTTCCGTGCGCTTTGCACACTGCAGTTGCTAAGTGAAAGAACTCACACTCGTGCCAGTCCTCTTGTACACTTTGTTATTCGTCGGAAATTTCAGGGATGGAAAATTTTGAAAGAATCGAAAAAAACAAGATATCAATATCTTCGTGTCGCTGAAGACCAGGCTGCTTACAAGTTAATATTCATCTTACTATAGAAAGTGGATAGTTTTAAATTAAACTAAACAAGAATTAATCTCAGTTTTTGCTATTCTTTTTTCATTTACTTGTTAGCCTCGCGTCTTTGCTTTTCATTTCATTTTTCTGCGCTGATCACCTATATCGCACATGCTCCCGGTGCTAATTCTTAAAGTGAGTGCACTCCGTTCCCTCTGCTTCTTAGCTATTTTCTGCAGCTGCTTTGACTATATCTGCGGCGCCTCTTTAAATTTTTCAGTGGGCAGTATATCAAACTCGAATGACAACATGTTTTTGGGCAGAGACTCTCGAAGTCTTTTGGGCCGTCTATATCGGTCGGTACTGACAGGATCTTGTTATTATTGAACATTCGCATACCAGGCGCAGCTGTTCCAGGCCTTCTAGCTCCAGCTTGCTTTATCCTGTTTCTGGGCTTCAGCGAAGACCATCGCAATAATTTTCTTTGGTTCCTTGGTGCCAGCACCGATTTATCACCAAAACGAATGAGTAATTCGCTGTTTGATTAGTTGAACTAATCGCAAGAGTGGAAAATATAACCTTCAAGCTCTGAAAATCTAAAAATTTTTAAGCTATTCCAGCTTGAAATCTTTGGGTATCACAGAATTTTGTGTAAAAAACTATATATATATTTTTTCATTTCAGAGCTGTTGTCTTGCTGACATGCGATGCAGCACGGAATCGGATCCTTTTATTCGTGGTTGATAACAGTGGAGCTCTAGTTAATGAATATGATTTGTCGAAAGCGTACAGACTGTATGAATACATCAGAAATCCAGCTAGTGCTGTTGTTGACTCTGTAAGCACATTTGACTTGGCTGTTAAGCATAATTTAAACATAAAGCTTACATTAATGGCAAAGGTTAGAATTCCCTCCTTTACGTGAGACGGAGACATTCGAAAATATCCCAAGAGTTGCAAGTGCCAAAACCAGCTATTAGCTGGGATGACTTCCTCGCTTAAGGATTGTTTTCAAGCAAGCTAATAACGGTTTTAACTCTGGCGTATGCCATTACCAGTTTATCAGTGAAACGAATGAACGTTTCGTAGGAGAATTGGTTGTCCCGCAAAAATTGTCTAATTGCTGTAAACAATCTACGCAAGTGAATAAATTATTTTTCTTTTTTGATGGTTTTATTTACGGCTTTCTACCAGTAACAATTCCAGATGATATTAATTGTGCTGGAAACACCTTTTTATCGAGTTAATGTTATCTAAGCATGGTTAAACGACATTTCTTATATATCTGCAACTGTGATTCGCCATCTACCAGCAGTTTTATTTTTCCTAAAGCCGACAGTTGTAGTTTTGCAGCTGGGAAATTTACTGGTTCTCGATTATGCAACAGGTCGCCTGTGGGCTCTAGTGAGCAGTGCGAGAGGAGCGCGTCGATTGAAGGAAATCGTCCTTCCAACACCTCTTGGGGCTCAGGAGGCCCTTGGAATTGTTGCGCATGTAAGATATATCTGTTTTACTCTTACTGAACTGACTACAGTCGCTTGTTTATCAAGTATTTTGTTTGACAGCCAGTGTCTCTACTCACTGCAACAGCTCGTTGAAGCAGCCTTCAACTCATTCGCGGGTTACTTCAGTGGACAACTAATGTTGCTTTTTGTTAGGTGGCAAGTGCGGTGCTTTCATTAGGACGACTCAGTGGTTTGCTGCCTAATCTGCAGATTTTCTGTGCTGGTATTGATATTTTCCCATGGAATTAAATCTCCTCCCAATTTTTTGTTTTTGCTGAATAAGTGTTAATGATGACGGGCATTATTAGCGCTGCTATCGTGCGAACATCGAGGGTTCGACTTGGCTGGTGGGACAACCAGACCGTTCATTTCAGTGATAAATTAGTGCTAACGCTTGCCAGGAAGTCAAACTCCTCATCAGTTTGCTTGTAAGCAGCGTTCGGAAGACAGAGCCATCAACAACGTTGCCAGCCAGGGTCGCTTTTAGCGCTT